AAAAAAAATAGTATATTTCGTACCTAGGGCCTAAAGTGAGGTTTTGCCGACTCGATATCGGGTTTTAAGTTCGGGACGAAGTCGAGAACGTGAAACGATCGAGAGCTGCAAACCCATTTTGGCTCGTGGTACGAGCGGTTTTTTTTACCCAAGTATGTTTTGCAATATAACGTCCCTCTTATTTATGTGAAATATTTTGAGTAATCAGCAAAATCAAAAATAACAATAAATAGTTGTCTAGGCAGCTGTGACAAAAAACAAGTCTATTGCAATGCCATGGATACAGCTTGTGCATTTAATATACATTAATGTTTTAAGTAAATAGGCGAACAAGTGATTTTGCGGCCCTAGGGATGTAAACCCCTGCTCGGTCCCCATATGACGATGACAGCTGGCATGGCCAGCAAAACGTAACTTTCAGCCACCAATATAAACCAGCTAACTGTATGTAAAACAGCTAAAAACATCATAGTGAGGTGAAAAATTCGTTACGCATACTTTTACATTACCATGAATTAATTATATGCATACAGAAAAAACGGAGTCATACTTATTGCGTATTTTAATGTAAACTAGTGGCTTGTAGGGACATAGTCCCTAAAAAGCTACGGAAAAGGAATTATTGTTGGAATATTTAAACAAACTCAGAATCAAATTATCTATATGTCAGGATAGGCCTAGATATCCCACTACAACATATCTTTTGTGCAAAAAAAAAAACAAAACAGTTTGTTGTTTGTCTTTGTTTGCTTTTGTTGATAACGTTATGTTCAATAAAGAATTTGAATGATTCCTGAGTTTAACTGCTAAAGGCAGTAAACATGTTTATGAATAAATATTGGTTTATTAAGGTAGCTTTGGTTTTTTGGTTAATGCTGATAACAAGGCTTCCCCGATTGAAATACAGTATTGGAAATTGTCTTCGTCAAATAAGAAAAGGCAAAAAATGGTGTGTTGAGATACCCTACCCAGTTATTATTTCTAAGTCTATGCTCATTTTGTAAAGGTTTAACAAAATTATTCTTAAGTAAAGGCATCCCATTGACAGAACTTGGATCTAAATTTGTTTGTGATCAACATTAAAAAACCACTATTAGCCTAGTGTAAGTATGTGGTGTTAATCCTCCTAAAGGTGCGATTGATTTACATATTCTACCAAAAAAGGGCCTAGTCAACGTCTAATTACCAACTATTTTGCGGCTAGTTAGGGTTCCATTACCCAGTTATCGAAACTAATCACGACATAAATATTTTTGGTTCGTTTAAATACCTGTACGAACCTACTTCATCTCTATTCCCAAATTGTTTTCTAAGAGTAACCGTTGAGGTTATTCCACTTCATACAAAATATTGATTAAACACTAGAATAAATCTCAAATATAAATGTTAGTAAATTAAAAAAAAAAAAATTGGAATAAATCTTTTACATATGTTTTGAAATAAAAACAAAGAAGATCTTCTTTTAATCTTGAATCGTTTCTTAAATCTTGAAAACAATTTATTTCAACTTTGACATAACTAAAAAGTCTTGATTATTAAAGGTAACGTTATCCCTTTATATAGTTGGTTTTATATAGTATACATTACATTGCAGAATTGACTGGCAAATGAGTAATCGAAATGTAAGCTTACTTGCTAATGATAAAATCACGATCAGCTGGATTGAAGTAAACAAAAATCAGCAGTGATGGCCTTCTAATGCTATTCTTATGGAGAACATTGTACGTTATATCTAATTTTGTGTTAAGATTTTGGGAATTTTACTATTTTTCCCGCCGTCACGGGATAAAGACCTTTAATTTGAGCCCTCTCACGTCGTTCTACGACTTCCCAGTCGCCCACAATTTTGACGCAAAGAATCGGCTTACGTAATTAATATATAGATTCCCATGAAACTGATAATTTACCCAGCACATTAAGGCCTTAATTCCAAGTATCTCAGTTCGTAAACCATACATACAATGTGACGATAAAATATCAACAAAATAGCATGTAGTTTTATGTAATCCTCACGACATTTCATTTGGTCCATTGACTTTAAATCCAATAATTGTAAAAATTATTGGAGCTTTGAAAAAAACTTCATATAAAATCCTTACACTAATAAAAGACGACGTCATGAGCGCGGGAAATGAGCTACAGCGGCTAGGGCATAGCCACATGAATACAGAACGGAATGAAGGAACTAGAACGGAGAACTGGCAACAGCGCACGCGAGAAGTAGGGGGGGGCGCACACACCGCTCAAGCACTACAACGCATTGCATCCTGTCCACACACTGTTGATATATACCGATTTGTGGCATGGTGCCACAATTTAAAAACTGGAATGTTAGATGTTAAAATGGAGTGTTCATTAAAAATATCGATGCAGACATGTTTCTACCACCTTCCTTCATCCACTGGTGGCCGCAGGTTGAAAGATGCCACAATTAGGTGTTTGCGAGTATTCGGTAAAACCCCGTATGTGTGTGTGTGTGTGTGTGTTTGTGTCTGTTAGCACGATAACTCGAGCAAAAATGATAAGATTTTTTATGAAATTTGGTACAAACGTGTAAACCTACATTTATTTATTCGAACGAGTTTGCGAACTAGCATGTTTGGACTATGGAAACGGGGGTTTATGGGGTAGAAATAGGATTTTTTCCCATTTTCGAACCTAAAAACACAACATTTTACAACTTTTTTCCAAACCATTTTATAGAGCTTTAAAGAAATAATTTAGTATATTGAAGCGTTATGTTTTTATGCACCTAGTGGTTACGGATAAAATTCCAAAAAGATTTAAATTTAAAATTCTCATGTTATTCTTATAGAGAATAAGTCAACTGTTGTAGTTTGCTTCTTTATGCACATATTTTGATTAGATTTGGGAAAACATTCATTTCTTACTAAACTACAGTATTAAAATTTTACAACAAAACACTTTTTTACCCTCCCTGTTGCAGCAAACCTAAGTACTCGTTAAACTAATTCCATTTAAATATGGAATGAATGTGCTATTTTTAAGGAGACATTTTAGTTTAAATCCAATCAGACAAACGGAAATTTGCTAAGTCTGCAGGTTTGCTGCGGCGGGGGTATTACTGTTATTACAATGACAATAGGTCGATTAGTGCGACGTTGCCACACAACAAAGTCATGGTCTTGTATTAGAGGAGGCTACGATTGTTATGTTATTCTTTCCTGTAATGGTTTTAACGCTTTCTCAACTAAGAGATGCGGGGTCATATACTCTAGATCTCGACAAATGTTGTGTTTTATCACAGTCTCCTCTCATACAAGGCCGCGACGAGCGAAAGTGGCAACGTCGCATCCGTGTCTTTTGCGCGGCCGTCTTACCATTACAGTGAATGGAGGAGTCGCGTACTCTACGTACATAATCGCGTTTCTACAACCCTTAATAATTAGTAATGACATTGAACTTGTTACTACAGCATGCCAGATAGATGTTATGTGCCTGGATGCAAGAATAATTACGAAAGCTCAATTAAAAATGAATAATACATACAGTGATTTAAGATTATAAGTGATCCGCCGCTTAAGCAACAATGGCTTTCTGCTATTCTTCGGTCAAATTAGACATCTTAAAATAATTCTCGTTTTTTTGTAAAACATTTTCACGAATATGAACTTAGATTTGTAAACAAATGTAAGAATAAGACAATGATTCGTTTAAATATAGACGCGAGAAGCGAGGTTTTAGGTATGAGAATGCCGTACTATTTCCTTATTTATTTGTCTATCTTATTGATAAAAGCTGTTGTTAAGTGATTAAAATAACTTAAATAACTAGCACTTCGAAGTAATAAACCGGTGTTTCTGTTAAGTAGGCCTACTAGTAAAAAATATGTACTACACCATCTAACAATAAAAGCATCATAGTCTCCGACTCCAGTCTGACTGTTTATGTGATAAAACAAATTCTATTAATATTGTGGAAATCCATATGGAGGCCTAGCTTCTGAAATCGTTTACAAAATGAAAAAAAGTTTTGCTTAGTAATTATTCAAAGAAAATAAATGATTTATAGTCAGTATGCCTTCAAAATGAAAACTTCAAATTTTGTTGTTGCTAACTAATGGTTTCCTCAGGTAGACTAAAACATAACATTCCTATTGAAAATTGAAAATTAATTTTATTTGAACAAATTGTTAGATGTTAGTCTCTACAAATCCCAAAGTCTCTACAAATATTGAAGTGGCAATAAGTTATGTCCTACTCTATTACCATTCTTGGTATAGTAGTTATATTTTGTAAAATTTAAGCCCAGTTCTCTAGTAGTTTTTACTATGTTGAATAACACACATATATACGTACACCATGAGATTGTTATATAATAGTATAGATTATCAAATTAACAAAAGAAATGTGTAAAGTCCATCTATTTCCACATTTATCGTACTTACAATACGATAAATGAACCAAAAACATTATGTTTGTATTTTTAGTTGTAGCCGTAGACATATTGTGGTATGTTGCAATTTTTCAATAAATAAAAAACCTAGATTCTAATTTGTCTATTCTACCACACACTAAAATCCACTAAAATATGTAATTTAAATACTTTCATTCATTGATACAGAGCAGCAATACTCTCATTGATGTTTATAGCCTAGCACGAGTGCCGGACTCAGGCGGCGGGTGAGTGCGGCGTTGCCAGTTCGAACGTCGCGGCCTTGTATTAGAGGAGGCCGTGGGGGTTTTATACATTCATAATAATATCCATGTTATATGGATTCTGAAGTTTTAGGGAAGCTCAAACCATAAAATAAAATTCATAACTAGGCTTACAATTTTGGATTTTAGAGGAAGAAATTTATGTTAATTGTGTACATTACTTATGATGACGTTTAATAAGTACAATTTGTGTATGTTTAGGATATGCCCTAAGCCACAGGACAATCTACTACATCATGATATTTACTTTAAGATCTGTGATTAAAGTCGGGGAGAAGGTTGATGTCTATATAGGTGCAACATCACCGAAGGCTTGGGCAATCGTTGGACTATCTCTTCTGGCAAGTGGAATTAGCATTGGATGGATAATTCTCCCTATATCCTTGAATAAATTAATACCAAAAGTAAGTTTTGATATTCCTCCATGATGGATCTAACTGAAGTTCAGCTATAATCTCAAATCCTGATTTGTGAAATAAACCACATCCACAAGGGTGGTTAAATTATGTGATGCCAAACTTGTATTAAGAATTAATACTTGCCTATGTATAATGTAGGCTACTCTATATTAACGATCGATAGAGTTTTAAAATAATTCAAACAGTTAGAGTAGAGTAACTCAAAAGATTTAGTTAGGTTGTACGATATCTGTGGCTTTATTTGCTTTTTGATGTTACTTTTTCTTAGCTTATTCCTACTTATCTTATTCCTGCATTACAGTTTAGGACCAGACATAAATGAGCTAGAAAAGTTTGTATCTTTAATAATATACTCTTATAGGATCGTAAGAAAGCCTTCTCCAATCCCATTAAAGAATAGTTTATTTTTACTGATTTATAAATAAACCGGTATAGTTGAATCGCGGTTCGCGGTATCAATTTATTGATAATCAACCCTGACAAATGCACTGCCAAAGATTATTTCTTACCATATTCATTAAAATACATTACCGGTATGAGATTGAGATACTCGATACAACAACTGAGCACAATGAACTACAGTTTTGAATTTCCATTCCACATTCTATTGGCTTGTAAAATGTTAAGTAAACTGCCAAATAGTTGAAGAAATCTTTAACCGAATTCTCACAAGTGATTGCCTAGCCGGACATTACATTACTTTTGATTATGAAACCGGAATGACGATGGGTTCCGATACCACATTTCACTCGTTTATTTACCAGAATAAACCATTTTTTCAATATTTGTATTTTGATTTTACCAAACGGTGAGCGTAGAGAATTGTCCATGAGGAACCATTGGCGGCACTACAAACGCGAACTTCACTGGTAGTCGAGTATTTAGCAACTAGGTACCTAAACAAACCCATTCATAAATTTGTTGTTCAATTAATTATAACTGATGTTTTTTATCAACAGAAAATAAATCTGGCTTATGGAGAGGATACCATACGACACTGGCAGAATATGCCTGTTTTTAGATTCAACATATATCTGTTCAACTTGACAAACAACGAAGCTGTGAGGGCAGGTGCAAAACCCATCGTCCAAGAAATCGGACCATATTGTTACAGGTCTATTAAACCCATTAGTATCCTATTAAAATCAGGTACCCATATAAGTAAAATAAATATTTATGATACATTTCCGTTGTTTGAAATTAATAGGTGAGTAAAACATTTCCATCAAAATAATAGGTTCTATTAGTTGAAGATGGTGCCGTGACCGCGGGACACGTTAACCAATCGCGCCGTGATCGTGGGACATGTTAGCGATGGTACCGTGAACGCGGGTGATGTTCACGATGGTGCCGTGACAGCGGGACACGTTAACCAATCGCGCCGTGATCGTGGGACATGTTAGCGATGGTACCGTGAACGCGGGTAATGTTCACGATGGTGCCGTGACAGCGGGACACGTTAACCAATCGCGCCGTGATCGTGGGACATGTTAGCGATGGTACCGTGAACGCGGGTAATGTTCACGATGGTGCCGTGACAGCGGGACACGTTAACCAATCGCGCCGTGATCGTGGGACATGTTAGCGATGGTACCGTGAACGCGGGTAATGTTCACGATGGTGCCGTGACAGCGGGACACGTTAACCAATCGCGCCGTGATCGTGGGACATGTTAGCGATGGTACCGTGAACGCGGGTAATGTTCACGATGGTGCCGTGACAGCGGGACACGTTAACCAATCGCGCCGTGATCGTGGGGCATGTTAGCGATGGTACCGTGAACGCGGGGAATGTTCACGATGGTGCCGTGACAGCGAGACGGGGTAGCTAAATTTTATCCCCCTAGAATTTTACCCCGGAGCAAAACTGACGTCTCAGGTTAGGGGGTAAAATTCCGTCCGCAAACTTTTGAGTTGCACAGCATGAGTTGACTTTTCAAGGTTGTGAAATTAGTGAAAAAATCACATTACAAAACCTAGAGTGTACGGGTCGAAATTTTATTCCCGGATCTTTACCCCCATCATGAGTTTAGCTCAAAATATACGGCCCGGATTTTTAAACCAGGAAGTTCGCATATATAGAATTTGGTGAGAATAATTAATTTTGTACACAATAGGCGTTTTAAGAGAAATACTTAAAACAGTTAAATATTATATACTGCTGTTTATACTAAATTTTGAGGGAAAAATTAAATTTGAAAACAAAATATCAAAATCATTCAAAACATGTAGGCTACAAACTTGTTGTCCTTCTGTTTCCACGAAAACATCAAAAAAATAATATTGCCATATCCTACTTTCAAAATTAGGGGACAAAGCCTAAGTTGATACAGAAAAGGTTTCGAAATCTTGCTTAACGCCATAATCAATTACACAATCTAGAACAAGTAAATCAAAACTACCACATATCTGTGCAAAAATTTAGACATGTTTTCACATTTAATGTGAAATTTTTATTTTCTCAGCTGTCTGAAATTAATTGCGAAATAAGTATTTTAATACAGTTATCTGACAAAGCGGGCTTTCTTGTACTGATTATAGCACGGGAAGTAGCTAATTGCTTAATTTACTTACCTTTGCCACACTAATTTTTTTGCCGTACTCCAGTATTCCAACATAACAACACAAAAAAGTGTTCGTTTATTAGGCAAGTAATACGTTTGTGTACGCTTGAAAATAAGTTAGCAACTTTTAAAAAAATAATATGACTAAGATCAGCTGGTGCAGTGTTTCCCATTTCGTTCAACGCTTGTATAAAAAGCATGTTTAGTGTTTTTTTATGCCAGTAGGTTAATTGAAATTTTCACGGAATCAGTATTATTAGTTATTTGTGTAACTAGTGTGCAAAGTGAAACCTTGAACCTCGAGATTCTTTTTTGAACCTTGATGGGTAAACATTTCTCTCATGTGCAGCAAAGGTACTTTGCACTAGCGTTACACTTTATTTTCCCTACAGTTACTATAAAACATGTACATAATTAGTCTTTCAAACCCTAAACAACACGTTTTAGGCTATGTTAAATCCAAGCGTTGAACGAAATGGGAAACACTGCACCATCAGCTGATCGTAGTCATAGTATCTTTAGTGTTGCCAACTTATTTTCAAGCGTACAAGTATTACGTGTAAATACAGCAGTTAAAAAGCTACTTTGCGTGCTATAATCAATGCAAGTAAGCCTGCTTTGTCAAGTATGGTAACTGTAGGAAATCTCACCAATTTCTATATCTGGCTAGAAGTAATATTCCGGAGTTGAAAATCCGGGGGTAAAATTCTGGGCCATACATCTAAAGCAGTTTGAACCCCAAGTTATAATGTGCAGGGGGTATAATTTCGGCTTGTTTGCCAACCGAATTTATCACGCTTTTTATATTTTCAATTCAAGGAGGTCAAAATCAGCCCGTGACTAAACTTGAGAGCACTCAGGTTACTACGTCATAGCATTGAGTATACTCGTATACACGTATACGTATACGTGTAGGTATACTCAATGGTCATAGTGACTTCAGCTCTGCTAAGGGGGATAACATTCAGGCGACCCCGCGAGATATGTTGAAGATGGTGCTCCGACTGTGAGATGTTGTGATGATAGTGCTGTGATAGCGAGATATTATAGATTATAGGGCCGTGACTGCAAGCTATTTTGACGATGTCACCGTGACATGAGACTTGTTAACGATTATGTATTTTCTACAGGTCCATAACACACTACTAAGGCTTTAAAAATGTAGTTATAGTCGGTCTAAATGCCTATCAGTTTGTGGTTAGCGTTCAGTGGTCTATAATTAGATTGATGTTTCACAATTAATTGGACTGAAAATTAAATTTGTTTAGTTCACAGTCCTTGTTACTCGTATACGTTTACTCATAATTGTTTTCTAGAACAGTGGAAATTGTTTTCTCATTATTACCATCTGCCAGAATATTTTAATCAAGTTTTAAACAAACACTTTTTTGTACGGGGAAAACCCTCACCCCGTCCCGAGCTAAAATACAATTCCGTCCATTCCTTTAAGACATTGAGATTTTTCCTGGGGATTTCAGAGAGTTTAAAGAGAAAGTAGAGATTAAGGGGGATCCGAAGATGGACACAATCAGTTATCGACTTCGCAGCACATGGGTGGAGAACCAAAAGAGTGTTGAGTGTGCAGCCCCACAACTAACTGGGGAGGAGGTCTTCGTAGTCCCAAATGTGCCTCTACTGGTAAGTTAAGTCAGCACATGGCTGGGGGAACTGAAGGGTGTTGGTGTGTAGCCCCACATCTCACTAGGGAGGATGTCCTAGTAGTCCCAAACGTCCTATGATGGTAAGTAAGGTCCTCAAATTAGTGAAGGAACAGGAGGGGGTCGAGTGTGCTGCCCCAAACCTCATTAAGGAAGAGTTCTTAGTAGTTCAAACGTGCCTCTGTTGGTAAGTTAAGTTAGCACATGGGTGGAGGAACACGAGGGTGTTGAGTGTGCAGCCACGTACTTTAATGAGGGGGAGGTCCTACTGGTCCCAAACGTCCCTCTGCTGGTAGTAAGTGAAGTCACACACGGGGGGAGAGGTACAGAAGGGTGTCGTGTATGGAGCCTCAGACATAACCGAGGAGATGATCCTAGTTATGTCAAACTTTCCTCTATTGGTAAGTAAGTCAGCATATGGGTGGTGCGACGGAAGGGTTTCGTGTGTGCAGCCATGCGCCTCACTGAGGAGGATGTTCTAGTAGTCCCAAACGTTCCTCTTTGGTAAGTACCGTCAGTTGGTGGGGGGGACAGGAGGGTGCCATGTGTGCAGTCGCGCACCTCACTGAGGAGGAGGTCCTATAGTCATCCTAAACGTCCCTCTGTGTGTAGGTAAAGTCAGCACAAGGGATGGACAGGAGGGTGTCGTGTGTGCAGCCACGCACCTCACTGAGGAGGATGACCTAGTGGTCACGTGCGTCCCTCTGTTTGAAAGTATACTGTCGAGCATACTATATTTGCCACCTACTGTGGGGGGGGGTCCTGTTGATCCTGAACGTCCCTCTGTTTGAAGGTACTGTCAGAGCATGTATCTGCCACATAGAATATAAGGAAAACCTAGAGATCCCGAAAGTCCCTCTCCTGGATGGTACAGCCAGTGGAGGAGGTCCTTCCTGAACCGAATGTACCTCTGTTGGAAGTTACAGTCAGTGAAGGTATCTACTACATACGCTTATTTTTATTTACGGCAAAAGGGATGATGCCCAACTACTCTAATATAAAAAGGTCACGTAAAAGAGAATTTAAGATAAAGTTATAAGATAGAATGTTGTAAAATGTTGAGCTTAATGTTCTACACTGCCATAAAAGTTTTAATTAAAACTCTATTATGACCTTTTTATTTGTTTGTATTTATTTTGAAAGCAATTTGACGAGAACATGCGAAATTTTTAAAAGAATAAAGAATAAAACAAACGAATGAAAGAGTTATTTGTGTAACTAGTGGGCCAAGTGGCACTTATTTGCTTTACACGAGAGAAATGTTTACGCACGAGCCCTAGGCGAGTGTGGAAGGTTTCTTGAGTGCAGCAAAGGCGGTTTGCACTCACGTTCCATATTTTATTTTTCTTACAGCTCCTATAAAGCATACTGTATAGACAATTAGTCTTTCAAACACTGTACAACACGTTTTTAGGTTAGGTTAAATCCAAACACTAAACCAAATGGAAAAAGCTGCACCAGCAGATTGTAGTCGTAATATCTTTAAGTGTTGCCAACTTATTTTCAAGCATATACACGCATTACGTGCCTCATAAAAGCATGCTGTTTTGTGTTGTTTGGTGGGAATACTAGTGTGCGGCAAAAAAACTGTGTGCAAAAGTAAGTAGCTGCAGCAATTAGCAACTTTCTGTGCTAATCAGTGCTAGGAAGGTCACTTTGTAAGGTGACTGAGTAGGGAAAATAGATATCTATACTATACCAACTATAGTACATGGTACCGTAATAGTCGATGCTAAGACTTGTAAAGTTTACATATTTTAAAATCCTTTCGTATTTGAACAGTCGATACTCCTCGTGGCAGAGAAGAATTTCGCAGCTCCGTTTTTGGCTGCGGTAAACGTTGCGTTACCTAGCATATTTGGTGACAACAGTGACCTCTTTCTGACTGCGTCGGCACGCACCTTGCTGTTCGGTGGCGTTCTCATAGACTGTTGGCATCGAGGAGTGCTCACCTTAGGGGTCTGCAGAGGTCTCAGGGACCAACCATCTGGATTGAGGAAACTCGGAGAGGACCGATACTCCTTCTCCTTCCTAGGTGCGGTAAGTAATCAAAGTGGCCACCAAAGACATTTCGCGAGTTCATTGCTTAATCTATAATTGATGATACTTAATACGTCCTTATAATGTACTGGTTTATGAAACTGTACATAATATAGTCATTTGATATAACATTTAAATACAGCCCACCCTCGACTTATGGTCGCTGTAATATACAGAAGATTTCCGAAGTTTTGCATAGCCATATTGGTACGCTCACGTATTATATTTCTTATACTATTGAATGCTTCGATGGTGTACTGCATTTATTAAGAAACGTTGTATCTTTGAATAATAGTCAATGGTTGTAGCTATTACAGACTTATTTCCCCATGCAGTTTTTCGAGGTAGAATAGGACCGCAGCCTTCTCCGACTTATCGAAGGGGCGACTAAATGGTGACTGACGCTCTCACTGGAAATCTATGGGAGTGCCACTGCTGAGTTGCAGGGGTTGATGTGTGCTCTACACTGTCGATGGGTAGTCTCGGTGAGTTGGGATGAGCCAACTACTTCCTTGGTCCTTGGTCAAGTAGTGCGGCATGGATAAAGAGGTCGGGCTCTGAGGTCATCAGGTATTCGGTGCTGGGCAAACAGGGGTCGGGCACCGGGGAACTGGGGTAGGGGTTTTGTTCCCGAGGGTATACCCGTTCCCGACTGTTTATTGACCACCCCTTGCCGCACGATGAGCTGTAAAAACATTATGGCTTGTAATAACGTACACACATAATAAGCACAAACACATTTTTGCTTATCAGCTCGAATGTGTAAACAAACACGTTGGGTGTGCAACCGAGCCCCTTTGGGTGTAGCTTCAAGTTCCAGACATCGCTACCAGCGAAACGAGTGATAACAGCTTATTTGACCTGCTGTAGATATGTTATTTGGCAATGTTGAAAATACACTTCCGGCTACATATTTGCAAAAAAATATTGAAAAACATATTGAAAAACCAAACATATTTAAAGTTACCATATTACACACTTAGTATAGTCTTTTAGAAACTTATTTGCACCTGTGTCCTAGTTGTGTCAAACGTTCCCCTGTTTGTAAGTAAGTCCGCATGGGTGGTGCGACAGGAGGGTTTCATGTGTGCAGCCACTCGCCTCACTGAGGAGGAGATTCTAGTAGTCCCAAACGTTCCTCTTTGGTAAGTATAGTCAGCACGTTGGTGGGGGAACAGCGGGGTTCAGCAGTATTTCTAGGCATCATCGAATTCATCGATTATTTACAGGGTGTGGATGTCTGTGATGAAAGTATCCACTCTAGTTCTGTGGATTATCGCCTTCTTTTTTTGGCGTTGAGTAGTTGAACTGGCATTGCCGGCAACTCTCTGCATAGGAGAACAACTGTAACACATCTCTGCATAGGGTCTCCTGCCTATCATGGCACCATTCCTTAGGTCTGGTGAAGCCGAAGGAACCCCTCACACCAAGGTCGCGGTCGGAAGATTTGGGGATAGTGCTTCTGTTTCAGGAATATCTTGACGCAGAAAGTAGCATTAAAACCCAGCTCCAAAACATGGAGGAGACCAAGTTGATGATTGAAACCTTCATGACGCAGAAAGGAGTCAACCAAGTTGTCAAAAACGGCATGGCCAAGCTAGGGGATGACCTTGGTTTCGTCTTCGCCTGCCGTTTGGTCATGGATAAATTTGTGAAGAGGGTGGCGTCCCTGTCCAACAGCATACCTTTCAAGTAATTAAAGATAATAATCCTTCGGTGTCATGTGGAGTGATCCAGGATGAATGACACGCATCTCGGTCTGCTTGATCTCGAACGCGATGTCGACGCTCTCTTAGTCAGCGAACAGTACAAGTACCTTTATAGGAACCCAACTTCTTGGTTCCCTAATCTTGGTTATGCCACATTCTGGACACGTAATACAGATAAAGCACAAGAGTAGGGTCACGCGAAGGACCGAGTTTTCGTCTGGGCTCGATGCAGGGATGACACTTACTTCAGTGTATACCTCACTCCCAACAAGGCCATCCGTAAGAAGATAGGCCGCCTGGAAGAGAGCGCGCGCGATAAAACAGGGCACGCCGCTATGGGTGGGGATTTTTAAAGCTAGGGCTGTCGACGCTTATCTTCCGGCACCATGGAATAAGGGGAACGATCCAAGACGTTGCATCTCAGTCCCTTTTGCCGAGGATCCCTTTGCTCGGAGAGTCCTGGACGACCACCAGTACATAATTTTTGATGTTCTGGATGGTCACCTGAGACTAGTTGCCGCGTCTTGGCAAATGCCCGTTTGATGAACACTAAACAACTGGATGTGGCCAAATTCAACGAAGCCATTCTACGGGGAGCGCCAGCGGTTCCTCACCCAACCAGTGGGTCTCACGCAGAGGCGTTACATCTATGATGGGAATGATTGTCTCGGCCGGTGCGATAATTAATCTGTATACTGGTGGACTTTTAAGATTACGGAACTATGCCAAGCTGCATTGGGAGCCAGACGACTCGCTATCTGGACCATAGAAACTGTAGACAGACGTTGTAAGTTGATGGCGAGGAATTCTCTTCGCTGGACCATCAATCGAAGCAAACACAATTGCTGAGAGGAGTTAAAGGACGATATAGACCGTGTGTCACATTTCATCCAGGGTATTCTCCTCACCAAAAATATTGGCCCTAACTGGGATGCAGTACGTGTAGGTCATATCCATAAATAATTATAACCAGTGAATTTGGAATACACATCCATCCTCCCCCTTATATTTGGAAGGAAACATGTGATTGACATGCCGTCTACATATAGATGGATCCATCATCCGTTTCAAGAACACGAATTGATTTTCCATACCTTGCTCTGAACATTACTAAACATAAACTTATTTTTATAGTCCCTTAAATTGTAAGCTTGATTTCTCTTCCCTTGTTAAATTCTCTTACTCCCTTTGCACATTTAAAGTAACTGTGTGAAGATTTTTGTTACCATTAAATGTTATCTCATTGTCACATTTCTCTAAAACATTAGGAAATAAGAATTTTACCCAGTATAGTTTATTGATTGTCTAATTTGCATCAAGAAAAGTTGTAACGCTATGCCCATTTCCCCCCTCCTTCATCCTTCAAGGCTAGACCCTTCTTTACAGTTTGAACAAATCTTTCTGGTTGACCGTTGGAAGAAGGGTGGAGTGGAAAGCTTGTTTTGTGTAACCCATCATAGTTTTTTGAAAAAATAATTTTATTTATTATCAGAAGTATCATTCTATATATCTTTCTTCTGAACATTTTTTATAGCTTAGTACGGCTCATTGGGTCCTTCCTTCTATCCTAAAAATATAGCAACCTCAGTAGTGGGCCAACTTCACAATATTCAGTTCTAGCGTAACATGTAAATCATACAGTTGGTTCATTTTACCGTGTCTCTTCTGTGTCTACCGTCGTATTATCTCATATCTGTTACGGGTGGCGTCGTCCTGTAATCCAGCTACTAGGAGGTAACGAATTGTGGATATTTATAGGCATGCACTGTGGATGCGATACTCTCTGGTGTGGATTAACGTCCGCACGAGTGAGTACTGCGACTATCCGCAGTACTATCCTGATAATTAGACCAATTCGTATATACCAAGGCAAAACTGTGGTCGGATTCCACTATAAACTGTAGGTCCCTTAGTTACCATTAGCTGTATGGGCTATTAATTAACAGCTGCGTCTAAGGAATATGTCGCCCTTTGGCCTTAGTCACTAACAAGACTACAAGATAGTGCCACTTATCCTACACTCATCTCCATTCATACTTGGCTTAAAATACCTACTTTGTATGGTCGCCATTTCATCGAAAAGTATTAAAGTATCTTCTAGTTTAATAGTAGGAGCCTGGCCAATAACTTTCTTAGATAATCCTATAACAAATAACTACTTATCTATTACAAATGTCAGCACCTCTTACCTAATTTAGAATCCGAACTAGTTTTGTTGTAGTTTTACGATTTGTTTGTTTGGGGGGGGGGGGGTTGAAGGTATGGGGGAACAGAATACTAGGTTTTTATTGTCTTCTAACAAAAAAGTAAAATCGCTCCAAATATTAATTGATGATTATTTCTTCAATTAAATATTAAAAAATAATAAAATCCCGGATGTAAAATAAGTATCAAAAAGTTTGGTCGAATTGAGTTTTCTTTTAAATCATGAAAAGGTAAGCCTACAATGGATTGTTAAGAGTTGTAGAAGAACGGCAGTGTGGATGGCTCACAATATACGGTGCGGAGAGGGGCTGAAGAGGCGACTGATGTGGGGAGGCTAGTGGCAGTGAACGGTCGACCCACCCTCAATTACTGGCGTGGTGACTGCAACATCCTCAATGGCACGGACGGCTCCATCTTCCCACCCTTCCGTCGTCCAGACAATCGCAGTCTAGTCGCCTACTCAGGGGAAGTCTGCAGGTAAAGCTGATCAATTATGAAACCATGACATTATAGGTTACTAATCAGCTGCATGATACCCACAGAACTACTATGGTTTCGCATCATCAGTTCAAAACCAAGGGAGTAATTTTTTATGTGTTTTATGTATGTCGTTATTCATAAAATATCAAACATACATAGAAACTTCCACAGATCACAATCGAACAAATAAACTCAGTGCACATGTAACGTGTACCGGCATGTAGGTGAACGCCAACGTCGTCAACTGCGTAGCTCAGTCACAAACATAATATGAACAAGATTATTTTCATAGAATGCCTTGATAAGGAATTCTTATCAAAAATCTGTAAAGTACCTTTGGATATTATCACTGATTAAATTTGTCAAACACTTATATCATTTAACGTAGCATTCAAATGTCTTAAACTAAAAATATTTTTTTTTTAAGTGGCGATTTACGTCAAAGGTCTAGTGCAGACCATTCACGAATATAGTCTAACTGGATTCAGCCGCTAATCTTGGAATTTCAAATTATCTTGCAAAGAATCTCTAATTCCGTAAGCCCAAAATTTTACAATGAAATTGTGAGCAAACGGTAGGCCGTAGAAAGCTGGGAGGGGTCTCATTTTAAAAGTCTGGGCATGAAATTTTGGGGGAAATTATTATTTTTCTTCATTATGCACCAAAAGGTTGTTACGGAATAAAATAATTCACATTTAAATAACATGGGAATCAAGGTCATGTCTGCCTTGTTTACTTTAAAACATGTGGTTTAACTTTATTTAAATCATATGGTAATATGTACTGGAATATGTATACTAACTCTACAGAGGATTAAACCATAGATAAAACATACTCCGAACATACCAATGACTCATTCCATCGAATCATGTGTGTTGTCCGTAATGATTCAGTGTTGAAGTCATGTTAAGTTCGCACCATTTTCACCAGCATTACTCAACGAGGATGATTCTTGATGATTCTGATGTGCAATTGGTATCCCAGCAGCACCCATTCTCAGCCAACTTAACCAACAAACTAAGGCTCACTGCTCTTTAGGAAGCCACCTAAACAGAAATGGAATACAAATGCTCCATGCAAAAGCTGATGCAGACCGTCTAATTATCCAAATAGCCATTCAACTAGAAAAAGAAGGGAAAATACTATCATTGTTGGGGAAGACACTGACGTATTCGTCCTGTTATCGATCCTTACTGACCCTGACCAAAATAATGCTCATTCCTCTTTCAACAGATCATCAACAAAAAATATTTTCATCCATGGCACTGCAAAAACGTATGGACAATGTCAACGAGCATATTCTTTTTCCGCATTCTATGCCCAGTTGTGATACCATGTCAGCACGGGGTAGCGGATTTTTATCCCCCTGGAATTTTACCCCCTGGGCAAACGTGACGTCACAAACCAGGGGGTAAAATTCCGGCCGCGAACTTTTGAGTTTCGCGACATCAGCTCGATGGATTAAACGCGGAATTAAACATATATTTTCACGGTTGTGAATTTAATCAGGGGCCCTATTTTTGAAATGGTTGACTGTTGAGTTGAGTGTCGAGTCATTCTATTTCCAATCGTTTCGTATTTTTGAAACGATTGACGGTCGACTTATCCAACCAAAACTACTCACTACCTACTGAGCTGTTGAGTGGACGGTTGACTGCACTTTCTTCTTCCTCTTTCGGTAAAAAATTGCTCTTTTTGAGTCGACGCCATATTGTTATTGCTTTAATTTATTAATTGCGATTTAGAGGTTATGTTTATGTATTTGTTGTCAATTTATTAGCACCCAATACTTTATGCGATTGTTTTCTGTAGAATAATTGCATTTTAATTTTATTATTACTGTGTCAATACTAGACTATTTATTCAAGGGTTTTATCCTTGTTGGTATGTTTGAAATAGACTAGGCATACTAATTGAACTTAATAAAGATAATTATTGTTATTAGACCTATGATTTAAGGTATTAAAGATTGTGGTAGAGAGAAACAATATCATAGTTTGTTTCAATACCATTCACCTAATAAAGGGATCAAATTAATTTAAGTTACGATATGCTTTCAGTGCAATGGCAAATAGCCGCTTTAACCTAAATAAAAACACAATCAAAAATAACATCAAACTAACCGATGAAGGAAACTATAGACGAAGAAAGCAAATAATAATGTATTTAGGATATGCCTAAACTTATAATTAGCTACACCCTAAAACAAACATCCATAGTAAATTTTATTTTTAATACTTAAGTTTATTTTATAAGTTAAGGTACTTTTGCAATCACTAAGATTGAAGATTAAGCAAGACGAAGACATAACCTCAATCTCTCAAGAACGGAGTTGACAGTTTACCTCAGTGTCTCGAAATATGGTAGATTGAGATTAGCTGCCAGATTTTAGAGTAAGAAGAGGTTAAATCGAAGATCGCAAGAACTCTGCATTGTGATTGGTTCAAAATGACGTCATCTGAATTTCGGGCGGTCGTATGCTCTACATTTCCACCACGAGTCACTCAACTAGTGATTCCCAACTCGCTTCCCAACTGTTGGGTTTCAAAAATACCAAATCCTGTTGTTGGTTGAGTTGAGTGTTGACTGTAGAGTCAACTGTCAACCATTTCAAAAATAGGGCCCCAGAACACATCAAATTATAAAAACCTAGAGTGTACGGCCCGGATTTTTACCCCCCGGAATTTTACCCCCGGAATTTTACCCCCCGGAATTTTACCCCCCGGAATTTTACCCCCGGAATTTTACCCCCGGAATTTTACCCCCCGGATTTTTACCCCCGGAATTTTACCCCTGGAATTTTACCCCCTGGCTAGATATAAAAATTAGCGAGAATGATTTATTATCTTCATTCTGTTTTAATTTAATAGTAAACATTTTATTATTAAGTATCCTATCTTAATTTATTTGTGACATTAACTAATCGAACATGTTTTTAACGCGCGAGGGGATTAACATAACTTACTGAGCACTGTTCACTCATAATGATTCATTCGCCTTTCCAAGTACTGTTGATGAGATTCCTTGCAGTAGTCAACACAACAATTGGTCGAATACATTGTAGGCATACCGGATGCCTACAACTACATTTCACAACATGTATTTCGATCACCTTTATCATTACAAACTATAAATAGCACATGGTTTGTGCCTGATGAAACAAGAAGGTTGTTGTACAACTGAAACTAAATACATTGTTTTTCATACTTATTAACATGACCTATTAATAAATAATGCTTATTTTTCTTCATTATTATTATTACTATTATTTACTATTACTATTACTATTATTATTTTTTTTATTCTGATTTTGATTCACAATGCCACAATGGAATGGCTAGATGCTTTACTTATTTACATACTTATTAACCAACAGTTTGCCCCAAAGGCAAATCCCGAACATCAAAATTAAACAGCGAATTCGTTTGACTTAGTTGAGATTACAAAATAAATAAATAAAGATAGGCCACTAAATAATGAAATGTTTACAATTAATTAAAAACAGAAATAAGAAAACCAATCATTCAATTTCTAAAATCGGCCAGGGGGTAAAATTCCGGGGGGTAAAAATCCGGCCCGTACATTTCAGTTGTCTAAACACTAGTTATATGGACAGGGGGTAAAATTCCGGTTTTTATCGCTAATTGAATTAATCACGCTCTGACTATTATCATTAGACTTCGAAATCCGCGGGAGTAAAATTCCGGCCGCGAACAAACTTTTGGCCACTCAGGTTACTACGTCATAGTGACGTCAGCTTTGCCCAGGGGGTAAAATTCCAGGGGGGTAAAATTCCGGCGACCCGGCAGCACCCTACAGGAAAGGGAAGATCTTCAATGTTCTGAAGAAATCCCCACACCTTCGCCAATGAGTGATTGTGTTCAATCGAGAAGAAGCTACACAGACGGAAATCGTCAAAGCTGGAGAGTAATTGCATGCAGCCGTTAGATATGGGGAAATAAGAGGCAATGGACTCAACACACCTCGGTACAAACATGTATCTGAAAGCAATAACGAAACGTCTTGACGTTGAATTTGACCTAGTGTTAAAATAGTGCAAACCTTTTTTTAAATATGTGTAGTAACGGTAAGTAGTTCGCTACAAACTATTTACTCATTTGGGGATTTTAAGGTGAAATATTAAAAAGTTATTTTCATTACACTTTCCGGACAACAGCCGTTTTTTGTTCTCTAAATCGGCTGCATAATCATAGTTTTCTGGTAGTTTTTTTTTATTTAAACTTACTTGAAATTCTATATACTATGAGTCATTGTATTGTGGTGATAATAATTAGAGAAGAGACAGGTGATAGAAGGGAATGGGATCGCAGAAATCTCTTAAGGTTTCAGTGACCACGGAGGTCAGGTACGATAAGTGATGCGATGGGAGGTGGCTGTATCGTTGACTATACACTTCTCAATTGAATATACTCTCTATACTGTACTTAATTAGTGTGCGAATCAGCCGCAAATCTCACTCAACGGCTTTTTAAATAGAAAAAAATGCTCCTTTATTGTAAAACTAGCTGTGTGCCCGTTCTACGCACGGGGATCTTATCGTAGTCAGTTAAAACCTTCTTATATTAAGCACAGCAGTTGGTTTGCATACTTTCAGATGGATATAAGATGACCCGAAATTCTGTCGAAATGCTAAATGAATCGGCTTGCTATATGAAATGAAGTACTATAGACGATTTAGAATGGTAATTTATAATAACAATTACCAAAATATGCCACGAACCATTGATACATAAACAACGTTTAAAGCGTTTGAACAATTTATGATGGTTTGCTGAATAAATGCTTCACTAAAATGCGTTATCGTTTTCTTAGCATAAACTAACATTTTGAAATCCAGACAGAAAAAGCAAAACTTATACAGTTAAGACATCAATTGAATTGAATACGCCTGTAATAAATATGGTGCAACACCAACGATAGCTACTTTGTAAATTATAGTGATGTGTTGGTACGTAAAAATGATTCTTGCTGCTACCAACGATTCAAAGGAAAAGAACCAGTACCAAAAACCAACGTTTACAGTTAAGAACTATAGTCCATCCGACCAATTAGATGCGTTAATCAAGGTTATTGATCTCTTGGTTTTGGATTTTCTCGTAAAAAGTAATCGGCAATCAAAGTTATTTCCCATTAATTGCTTTATTTGTAAACAACTCTTAATGTAAACTTATCGGTGTCAGTTTGAAAAAGAACATTAGAAGGAAATGTGACAAAAATCACACAACGTTGGGTTTTTGGACGTTTGTAATTTTATTTCTTAAGTAGGTAGGCCGTGTATTATACGGAAAAGTACCAGTATCAAGGATCGTCGTCAAAAAGGTTGTTATAAATAATTGGGTAGGCGTACGTACCCAAGAGATGGGCTATGGGCCTATATTGGCTGTATGGTCCAGCGATTGCATCACACGGTGAGTAGGAACTATTGACTATATATAGGCTAGTCAATGGTAGGAACAGAAAGTGACACATTGGAAAATCGAGTTTAGTCGAGTTTAGTGTGAATTAGTGGAAAATCGAGTTGGAAAATGGAGTGATCCGTAAACCTCTGTTACAATCACCCACTGCAGTTGTGATTTTTTACTTTACACTTCACACAACAGCCATTGAAGCGCCTTCAATGAGTGGAACCTTGTTTCTAAGCTATTGGTGACAATCACTAAAAAATTTAAGTTTCCCAGCCGTATACAACACTGATTCAATGTCATCTTTCTGGTTATCAAAACTCAAGAACAATTTTATACACAAAGAATCTCTGGTTCCTGACCTGGATGATGCCTAGTTATTTAATTTAATTTACGGTTACACTATATTATTCCACTTGCGATGAATTAAATCCTTTATGTAAGAAAAACGTTTTTAATCTCACTTGGATAGGATTTGCCTTCAAAACGTGATCGGAAATGGTTGCGGTATTTGTAAACAACATTTGTAAACATATCAGTGACAGCTAGAAAAAATAATCTTGATCCGAACAGCTGTTCGTTATATCATAGATAATTATTATGTGATAAAAATTGGACGAAAACTTGAAAAAAATCGCACAAAACTGCATTTTTGAACGTCCGTAATTTTATTTACAAAGTAGTGAGGCCATAGTTGAATGGCTAAAGACACTCTCGCCAATCCAGTGAATACATTAAAATGACTTGGATCTTGATAGGTACTCTCGTCTTCCTGGAGAAGATTGCGTAAAATGCCATCTTGAGTGTTACAGACAGACAGAAAGACAGACAGAATTTTGGATGAGACTTGTTTCGGCTTCTTTAATGTATAAAACGTAAAAATAACCTAAAAATTTATAATTCTGAGCAATGTACGGACAAAACTCTAATTTTATTTATATAGAAGATAATCGGATTAAAATGCAAATCGTATAGGCCAAAATCGGATGAAAAAATATTTGGTAACGTGACTGTTTACAAGGATTTTTCACATTAAACTGCTAGAAATTTTGTTTTCGTAATACTGTCCGGAAAACAGCCGTCTTTGGGATTGGTGAATCTGTACTTTAGAACAGACCCTTGAACCATTGGTCAATCTGTATAGTAGAACAGACCCTAGTAATTGGTGAATCTGTATGTGGTCTTTGTACCATGAAAGGGACGCCTAGGTGACTTGTTGTGTTTGGATATGAGGCAAATCGCAACTTGGATTGGACATATATGACAAAATAGCCTTGCATTTATTTGTCCAGAGCCGTGCTTTAAGTAGGACTTGAAGAATCCTACTTTGTTTCTTTTGGTTAGTGCCAAAATTTGATTGACTCGATTATTATTTAGAGGTTTTTAAATCGGTCACAGTTTTATTACAAAGTCTACTTTGGTAAAATGTAAATGTTAATCCATAGTTTTATTCTGATTTTGATTTTATACAATGAACAATCTTCAAAACAGATTTACTATTATCATTTGTCACCAGAGTGGTTCATGGAGTGTACGAGGGTGAGCATGACGTCAACAGAGTATCAGGGTACGCATACACAGTGACATTGGGGGACACGGAGAATGAGCCACAAGATAAGTGCTACTGCGCCGCTGTGGACCGTTGCTACAAGAAAGGCACCTTGGATGCGTACAGATGTCAGGGTAACGAACCTTTCGTTATTGTTGATAATGCAAGTCTTCTATAGACTGTGAGATGTAGTTGGGTAGTGGAGCTCAGTGGTTTACAAAGAACATTAATATCAATTAAACAATTATTGTCTAAATAGTTAGCATACTCTAATGCTTCACAATTATCTCGATTAATACCTATGGGGGCCTGCTAAATTACTCACATAGGTTGACATTTAAGTTGAAGTTATAAAAGTATGAATAATGCCATTATTACAATGATCTACATTATAATCTCTTCTACTACTTATTTTCCAGTTATATTTATCCATACAATCTATATTATAATTTATGAAGTACTTTTTTGTCGGTACGCCATAACTTCCTTATTTCTTCATCGATTTTGTTAAATGTCAAATCAAATCAAATCAAATCCAATCAAAATATCTTTATTCGTCATCTGTACATGCTTGGTACATTGAATAGTGTCAATGAATAGCCTATATTACATTTAAAATATTTGTAACATAGGCCCTAAAATTAAATATGTAATAAAATAAAATTAATAGTACAAATTCTTAAAGTATAGAAAAGAACTTAAGTTACAGAATGGTTTTAAACCTCAGCACTAAATGGACTAAATTAAATTAAACTAACTAACCAGCACCTCTATAAAGATTATCTAGTGAGTAAATAGCCCTTTCAGTCAAGAAACTTTTTAATGCACGTTTGAATGAATTTAAATTGTTGTTATTTTTAATATAACTTGGTATGTATTCCAAAAATTTGGATCCATTATATGTTTTTTTCTTTTCAAAAAATTTTAATCGATGTTGATCAGTCTGGTAGTTTCATTTTAAAGCTTTCATCTTCATTTACATCGGAAAAAATACAATTCACTCTCATTTCATGAGTTCCTTGAGAAAAATTCATTTCTTAAATAACATAATTAAACTCAAAATGTATTTAGAGGACCTTCGGACGAGATAGGACACTTTGCTACTCCTTTCATGAAGCGACAAAAAACTCTAACTGGTAGTTTAGACACAAAATGGTATGCTCGAAGCTAACGGGCACCATATGCCAACACAATCGACATGGCTTTTAGCAACCATCTGCATATTCTACTCTCCCGCTAATATACCATAACTCTGGCACACTTACAAAGTCTCCCTTGGCCAAGAGTTCCTTAGACAAAACAGACCCAAACATGCGTACAACCACTTGCCGCAGCAACCAGAAGCAATTTTTGTCGACACGTTAGAAACTGCAAAGCTTTTCCTGCTTTAGCTTTTTAGCCAGTTGTTATCGAGGAACAAAGTACAGCACACATCTACCATATACATGAGGACCGACCAAAAGGTTATGGCAGTTACTACGCTGTATTAACTGTGTTGTGCATTTCAATTAAGAGGTATTTGAGGAGGATATAGTGCGAATGCTTAGCTCTGGTCGGCTTGTCTTTACTTGTTTCAAAATCATGGTTAACGCAGTATTTGGTTTACGTGTACTCCAGGGGCGCCGTTGGTGGCGTCGCTACCACACTTCTACGGTGGAAGTCAGGACTACATCACCGGCGTCAGTGGGATACAGCCCAACAAGGAGAAACACGAGATTCTCGTTGTCCTGGAACCTGTAAGATCAATTAATCAAAACTTCTAGATATACGGTATTATAATGTGTAATTAAATTACAACGATGACTGCCATCTTTAAACTTTAGTTAACAAGAAATAACAGTTGGTCTACAACACAGTTTTTTGAGCAATATTTGCATACAGACACCACCTATACAGATACAAGACACCTTTTAATATTATAGATTAAAATAGTTCGTATACCTGATAAATAAGTATATCACTTGGCATGCAAGAAAAAAGCACATCACTAAATCGAATTAATATTTTTAATTCAATTCTGTTTATCTTAGACCTATAATAATCTAACGTAGTACAATATGATCCTAATGTGAAATACTATAGTTCGGCCGCTTAGAAAACGACCTGCGCGCTAATGCTAAACCAATGCTGGAGGAGGTCGCTTTCTAAGCGGCCGAACTATAGTAGCCATTAAAAAATTGTTGTTATAACGTGTGTTACATATTAGACAACTGGGATACCTTTGAGTGTCAAGAAGAGGATTCAAATGAATATTGACCTGAAGCCAATACGCTACACACCCAGAACTCAAAACTTTCACCGGACCCTAGTGCCACTCTTCTGGGCTGAGGAGGTCAGTTGTAGCATTCGATAAACCCTATACCGGACTGTAAGTAATACTCCTATTCCACATCACAAATCCAGTGTAACATTTAAAGCTACAAAATACCACAAACCTTCTTTACATTATGTTATTTCTGCTTATGTTGATGTGGTGTGGTGTATAGCACATGCAATGATGCAAATAATACTGGGAGGATTTCATCGTATATAGCTGATCAAAATTTCTCTCAAGAATATTTTCAATTTCACAAACACGATGTTCATAATGTTTGAAGTATACTAAGAAGATTTTATGTTTCAGTTGTTTGAACTGAATGGTGAACTTCTTGAACTTCTCGAAGCCTCTCTTCTTCGCCCTGTGAAAGTTGTACACTTCGGTCGATGGATATTAGTAATATTTGGAGTAGTTTTACTTTTATTCTCTATAATTATCAAGACAAAACAAATTCGGAGGAATAGTAAGCTTGATCCAAGCAAGAACTTTGATTACGGTCCGGAGTTCAAAGAGAAGCTGCAATCTTTAGACTCAGAGGAGACAGTAACAAGTGGTCCGTTCTTCATCAGTCAACCTCCAGCTATAGGCCTACCTCAACCTCGGTGGGGCAAGACCAAAAACACGGCCGAAACCCTCGTGAGTGGTGGGCTGGTAAGAACTACAGCAGTTGGAGGAGTAAAAACTGTGAAATACAAAAGAATATCTGGACTTCAAGAAATTCTTGTGAAAGAACAAGAAAGAAATCAGTAAGGTCTATGCGGTAACGGGTAGGATGTAAACAAAACTACACTACCGACAACCAGTGTATAGAGCTCCAAGCGGCTATTCTCACAACTACTTCACTACTTGACGTGGCTGTGAGTTACAGCAGAATACTTCAGTCGTGTCTTGTTTGTCAACTTAATTGACAAAAAGTTCATGAAGTAGTACAGTAGCAGGTATATTTGATTCATTTTCATAAAACGTAAGCCCTTTTTATTTGCTAAATGCCATACATCTGAGGATAACACACGAAAAACTCCCAATTTATACAGTTTGGTTAATCAAAAATAGGGTGTTTTGTTTTGTTCTATAAAACACCATAATCTTTAATTCAAGAAATCAAAAGCAATTGTATCCATAAATTAAACGTACGTGCATGCATTATCGTTGATGCTGGTTAAATCGTAACTGGAGGCCCACGTGTTATGTTCGTTCGGGCGGGGATAATATTCTACACAAAGTTAGTTTATTGTTGTGTTTTCTGGTGAGTTGCACTATATTTGATTCTTATTAACGATCTATTTTTAATATTTGCACACGAATGAGTAAATGAAATAACAACAAAAGGTTTGGCTTACATTTTAATAAATAAGGATACGGTACTATAATATTAAGATACTATTTTTATAAAGAGCTAGTCTTATCAGCTTCACATCACTGTGGCCCGGTCTCATGGGTAAAAAAATATTGCAATGTAAGCCAAATAACCTCGTAAAACTGAGGGTCTAGATTTAATACTTGTCAAATTTAGGCTAATTAATTTTAAAAAGTAGACTACTGTAATGGCTGCATGATTTCCACTGTAGCCGTTTTTTATTTGGCCAAGGGAAGGCTTTCTTTTAAAAATCTTGTGATGGTAGAACTAAAAAATTAAGCAAACTTAAACATAAATATACAAGATTATTTGTGCTCTCTTGCCAGGACCGAATCCTTGAAATTTGAGAAATAATAAACTACTATTTGTAAAGAATCTTTATGGAAATGCCTTTAATTAGATATCTCAAACACTATAATAGGAAAAGGAACACACTAAAATGTTTATTAACTAACTACTGTACTTTGAGAATAGTAAAAGCAATTATTTTAGGTACTTGATACCTTTCCAATAGTTATTGAGATCTACACATCTAATGAAAGAACATTTAATAAGTACTGTAGGCCTATGTGTTTGTATTGGTTGAAAATGTACCTGTAAATCTAGATGGGTTTTGTTACTTTTTAAGACGGTTTTAATTATTTTCCCATCGCTGGGCCCTTTTTAGAACTAATTTTTCTTCATCATTAGTTTAGATTATTACCATGGTTATAGGTTATTATTTCTGGATCCATATTGAGGCGAGAAAGTACAAATCACTGTATTATTAGTAGGCTAACTCATCAATAAAACAATATTTTTTAAGAATTTGAATAAGTGTATTGCCCTCTAAAATAGATGTTCAACTGAATATATTTTAGTATGCTAAAACATATACTTAAGTATACGGGAATTAGGCGTCGCCGGCCGCGGGATTTCATGTACTAGCTGTAAACACCATCCCGGAGAGAGTTCTTTGAAAATACATGATCCTACCCAGAACATAAAGTTTTATGTTTCAGTATTGTATTCACAGACTTTTTAAATATTTAATTATAGTTTTTAGAATTGTTTGCAACGGTGGAATGTACGATAGTAAAAATTATATGGACAAGAATTTACTTTTCATAGGAATTAATTGAATTTGAATATTAAAAAAACCATATGAAATATACATTTCTACTCCACTGTTACCCAGAGACATTTACAGGAATTTAAATGCCGAGGTCGCTGAATATTTAATTAACTGTTTAGATTTTCGTTTTCCACGGTTCTGTGTAAGTATTATTAATTTTATTTTAATTAATTTTACTAAACTTAGTTATATAGCCTGTATTAATAAAATCAGATTCTTAATGAAGAAAAATTATATCTTTCATTCTAAAGTAATAGATTTTATTCACATATAACCTACTTTCAACAAAACAATAATTAATTGTGTTTTAAAGCTTTTCATCCTGATAAATGTAGCCTACATTAAATATCTGCATTGAAGTAATGCACAATTAGTAACCTCTATTTAGCTTAAGTGTGTATTAGGTAACACTTATAAGATTTATAATTAAGTAACAAATTTAACTGTGATTTATGAAAAACCGAGTATGTACACTATGTTACAGTGACATCAACAAACAAGAACAAACTTGCAATGATCTTGAATTTGAAAACAATTTATATTTCATTACAATAGTAGAACGTGAGTCCATTACATATTTGAGACCAAATGGTCAAGAATATGTATAGACCCGCGTTCACTCGAGTTTTAACGTTATTTTCCGCTACTCTCCAAAGACTAATTATTTTCTTGATTAAAACAGACATTTGATATTACTTTATTACAGTTAGGAAGATTACAAAATTGATAGAATTTTTTTAGGTTATGCCTTCAGTTTAAAGTTAATTTTTACTTTGGTTGTACAGTTTTGGATATTGAAAATTGAAACAGTTGACAAAACAATAACAAATCATTATTTTCTTACGCCGGCAAAATCCAAAAAAGATAGTATACATTACTTTCGCAAAGTAAACATTCTTTTCCGTAGTAAACAATGTAATGATAAATTTTTGCACGTGATAAACATGTAACGAAAATAGGTCATTTCACAGTAGTGTACCGGTAGTGAATTTTGCCCACGTAAAAAACAATGATTTGTTACTGTTTTGTCAACTGATTCAATTGTTAACAACCAAATGTATACAGCCAAAGTAAATAGTAACATTAAATTTAAGGCATATCCTACAAATACTACCAGTTTTGTAATGTTCCTAACTGTAATAAAGACATACTGTAGGATAATGTCTGTTTTATAACAAAATATTACTCTTTGTAGTGTTGCAAAAAGTAACGTTCAAAACACGAGTAAAAAGTGGTCCTATACATATACTCGACCATTTTAAGTGCTCTATAAATCTTGCACTTCAAACATGGTCTCAAATATGTAATAACTAACTTTCGACTCTTTTTTATGAAATATACGATTTCAGTTCAGCTTAGCTATAGAACAGGAATATAAATGGAAGAATATACGAGTAAGATATAAAATTGAAAACTTAACAGTACAAATATGAATGATAAAAAACAAACAAAAAACTTAACAATAACAATTAAAAACAGTGATGGTTTGACAATGATTTGGACTAGAATACTATGATCCTAGAGGGTTGTCAACATTGACAGAAATCGAAATGGAAGAATAAAAAATAAAAAAAATAAAAACATGAAAAAATAAATATATTTAATTATACAATAAAAAAACAGATTTTTACTAGAATAATATGATGGTAAATATTTACCAGTATTGACAGGAAAATGGCTTGAAAAGTGAAACCAGACAATTATAATGTGGTAATGGAGAAAACAAGTAAATAGTGAGCAAGGTTGTGGGTTAAGTTGAAGAGGGTATGTTATGGTATCTCATGTGTCAAATTTCGAGCAGAAAAATTAACTTAAATTACTAGGTATAAAAAGACAGAATTAACAATTTACTATGTTAGATGTGAATTAACAATATTATTGTGAAGAGAAAGAAATGGATTGAAAATTAATTTAAAAAATACGGATTTTTATATGTAAGTTTGGGGTGTATGTTTGTTTGATGTGATGTGTGTTTGGGTGTAATTCTAATCGTAACACACACATCATGATCTCTAATATACTTTTAATTCATCCCCGTTGGTAACGAATCGCTGAAGCTTCTTACAGTATAAACGTTTGAGGTCAGGGACAGATGAAGATAAGGTTGTAACGTGAACCTGTCCGTCGTGATGACATGGCCTGCACAGTGCACGCCACACACTATAATGCTACACGCTACACCACTACATCTCTCACGCACACAATATGTCCACTTGTATAGTATCACATCCACGTCTGGCGATAGAAACAAAAGAAGTCATAACTTACTAGCATAGCGTAACCTAAACTCCATACTAGCGCCCACTAGCGACAGAGGAAGTCGACCGATAAGCTGCCTAAGCCAGAGAAGAGGAGTGGTCATTAATATAGGGAGAGGTTACTTCTGTCTTTCTTTGATTAGGGCCAAGCTTCCAGCTTCCATAAATGTGTCTAACGCAACCGGGTATTGGGTCAGTGTAACCTAAACCTCTGCGCTAAACAAGACATTTTGTAACAAAACAATGCCTCCTCAAAGTAATGCACTTGCTTAAGAACATAAAGAAAGATAATATCATAGATAAAACATACCTTGTGTTAAGTCTATGATAAAATGTCGTGCAAAACAATTCGGACTACTGACGAAAAATACCATAAAGCTGTATAAATAGTTTTTACCTAACCCGCCATGTTAAACTTCCCTATCCCTAGCGTGATGTATACAACTTCTTTACTTCTCGAGTGATGTAAAGTTGAAAAAACTCACTCGGTGAGGTAATGAAACCCATTGAAATAACATTGAGTGCTTAACTTAAAAAAAATATACCTCTATGGAGCCAACGACGTTCAACGCTAGAAATCAGCTGTGCGCCTGAATGTGATTGTTATGCTTTTAAGTATTTTCCTAACCTAGCTTTTGTTTGTCAAAAAGGCTGAAGCAACCCCAAATTTCAATCCCGCCAATTCGTAAACCGGATGGAAGCTGGGCTAAGAGTGACATAGAAAAATCTGAAGCTTTCGGGGATTACTTTTCCAATGTATTCAAGCCAAATGTAGGTGTGGTCAATAATGAAGAAGAAATAATAGAATTCTTGGACTCTCCACTTCAACTTGACTTTCCTCTGGAAAAATTCAGACCTACAGAAATTAAGGCAACCATTGACAAATCGCTAAATCCGAAAAAATCTCCTGGTTACGATTCTATCACTGGGAAAATGTTAAAAGAACTGCCAAGGAAAGGAATGATTTTTATTGCATTTCTCTTTAATTCTATATTGAGACTAGACCACATACCAACTCAAT